GCCAGCGTCCATGGACTGTGAAACTAAATTCAGTCCACATCTCCTCCGAGCCACATCTGTTGGACCCTTCCAATGCTATAATTCGCTGATTCCAAGCCAGGATTCAGGGGCCTGAAACTTGTGGTCATCCCTTCCTCGTCCTGCATGTGCAGCTATCCCCTAATTGACCTTTACATGCAAACCTGGCCACTGACTGCTGGGGCACAAAGGGGAAGAGGAGGACGAGCGGGAATGGAAAGGAGCATCTTGGAAGTGTGCACAGAATACAGCCATGTCACATGGCAGCGTTTGGTTGTAAAGCCAACATGTTCATTTCCATTGAGTTTCTGCGTGAAGGGACACTTTCCCTACCATGCTAATGTCGACATACGTGATACACTGAATGCGTAGCGGTTGGTTTTCCTTTAATGAATTGCAGATGCTGGGGGTGGAGGGGGGTTTGCACAGAACCACAAGGCAAAGGAGGTTTGCTGCTTCCCTTTTCCAGCCATGATCATGACGACCCCACCACTCCAGCCAGCTATGAGAATGTTTTAAAAGTTTCCACTGGCACAGTGGGAACATTTTGTTTTGAAGACTCCTACCCAAAGGATGGGGCTTGTCATACCAATCACTGCCACATAAGGAAGGGATAAAACTCTCATTGCATGTAGTACAGTCCCAACAATGATTCCTTCCTTGCCTCCCCAAAGATGTAGCTGCAGAATGTTTAATTCGGCCTATAGATGAACTGAGAGCAAAAAGCAGAACTTACCTATCTACAGCAAGATGGACATAATAAGTGGATCCTCTGTTTAATTAGCATAGATGGTTGTGTCATATCGTACTGTGTCCCCCCGCCACCGCCCTAGCAGGGATGGGGCCTGATCCAACAGGGAAGTAACTCTGGTTGCAATTCTGAGCCACAACTTGCCTTGCAGGATTAAGTTTTCTTCTAACTTGCAAAAAGTGCACCATAAAAGGGACATCTGTCAGTGCTTGTGGTGCCTCCAGACTGACAGAGGAGATGAGAGCCTCAGAGGAGATGAAAGCTGAAGAGCAAAGATTCCTGGAAGAGATGTGAACATCTTCCCTTGGACCAAAAATATCTACAAAGGGACTGGGGAAAATGTAATGCCAGAAGGGCAAGACACATGTTTCTTTCACAACGTCTTCCAATTGCTCACTATCTATTTTCTTTTCAAATAGACACCTATTATATATGACAACTTCAAGACATGGGCACCTATATATGGGATGCAAAGCTCCCCATGAATTCACATTCCATCAAGGAACATTCAGAGTCTTACTGTTGCCATTCTAGTAACTGCCATGAAAGAAAAGTAATTTAAAACCCTGCTCAGAGCTGGCTAGAATATGTAATGGAAATATTGAGTGAAGGATTTAAGTAGAGATCTGCAACATGAATACATGTTGCTTACCAGAATAAAAATAGTATTATGCCTGCATTAATCTTTTCTAAGCCAAAGACAAATCTTTTTTGAAGATTCTTAACCCCATGTTTATTTCAATGATGTATTAATTTACTGTTTTTCCATCCTAAAAATAGTTTTGAAAACAGGGCACTGGATTTCCCCCATGCCCCCACTTTTTGTGCCAGATGTTTTATCAGATCAACAAATGCAGTCTTTCGGGAATCATTCAGGAATGATTCTTTCAATAGGAGCTTTATTAGAAATGCTATTTAACTGGGTATGTGGGCCTTGCTAGGAGCTCCTTGCACCCTTAGATGAATGGAAAGCAACAAAATCGCCTGCATATACAGACAACTAATTTTCGTCAGTATTATGTGGGTTAAGGAGAGTGAAGCCACACAACACACCCTTTTGAGAACAGACTAAATGCATCAGGTTTTCATTAAAAATATAATAAGAGGTAAAATATTTAATAGCTCAAAAATTGCAGCCAGTCTCAATGATGCCTTGCAGTGGGTTAGTCTGCTAATATGTCTTTTTTTTTTTGCTTCATTAATATTAAAAGGAATATTTTGGAAATCCAAAGTGTGCTGGACTTAAAAGAACTTTGTTGTGACCTAAAATGCTATCAGGGCATTGCAGTGTGCTGAGGCAGTAGCCTGGCACTGATGGTAGACTGGAATGCTGCCCACAAACAGATTGACTCGTGAGGCAGCTTGGTTGGGCCGCCTCCGGATGGGGGACTCCTAGTATTACCTGGCAGAAGGCATGACACAATTTCATTGATGCTCCCTTAATGGGTTTTCTGTGGTAAGAAAGCAATACAGAAGAACTACTAGGAAAACACAGGAAGATTACAAATAGAAGATACCATCCTCTGAAGCCCAGGTAAAATCCTATGCATGGCAGTGAAATAAAAGCATTGCCTGGAAAGAGCTTCAGCCTGTTATTTCCTGTTCATCCACACCATCACATTTATTTGACATTTGTGTGGCACCTTTTCATGGTAAGCCATGCTCAAAGAAGCTCACGACATCAGAATAATGAAACAGAAGATTGCAAGATGGTTCACTCACAATTACAGGACAAAAAATTTCTATATTCATTCAAAATATCAACAAATAAACGTTCAATTCAAATAATCTACTGATATAAAGAAAACAGAGCACCATCCAAATGGCAACAAAACTGCAATGCTGTATCCAAGACTAGGCAGTATCTGCAGTGACAGCCCCGAAATCTGATGATCTCCAGACACCTTCAGTCACTGAGATAACCTTTGCAGTGAGGGTCAGACAGAGTTCTGCTTCCTAGGAATTGCTCACATACAACTAGATGGGCTGCTGTTCATAAATGCATAGTCCAGCTTGCCATCTTTCCCTTGCTATGTCTGTGGACCCCGATCTATTCCTTTATTCGGCCTGCACGCCAATTTCCCTTCCCACTTTGAGTCCTCGTATCTGCAGGCTGCACAACTGCACAGGGCTTGCAAAAGCAGCACAGAGAGAGGTAAAACATATACATGATGACAATAAGATGAAAATGGACTAATGGTGTAAGACATAACAAGGTTGCCTTGCTTTGAAGTTGAACCGCTTGTCCATATGGTCATGTTTTCTCCAGCAGCTGCAGATGGTGGTATGTTTCCACAAGAGACTCTTAGAACTTGGCCCTAGACCCCTGGGCTTGACACTCTTCCATCCTGAACACCAAACTCCAGTGGTGGGAAGCCCAAAAACCAAATGGGCAAGGACAAGAATGTCTGCATGGTTTTGCTTAAAACGTTTTTTTTAATTGTTAGATTAAGCCTTAGGAGAGAAATGGGACCCCAAGTGGGCTGGACTTGGCCTACTGGTCTAAGGTTCTACACCATGGTTTTGCCCTCAAGCATTCAAAGCATGTCTTCTGCTTCCATACATTGTTCCATCCCTGGGTGCAACTTTAGGCACCATATGCAATACATGTCTTTAGGTTGTAATACTGCAGCAAAGTACATTTTGAATCTTCGGAATTGATTTAGTGACTGCGTGGCGTCTACAACTGCTTGCACCCTGCAGTCTTCAGAGTAACTGCAAAGCAGTTAGTGTGAGTCACATATTTCAAGAGTTGACGGGGAAGAGGTTACCTGTTTGTTTGTACTGCTCCCCAGAGAAACAACTTTAAACCAAGAATAAGAAGCAGTAATTAAGAACGGAAACAGAGGACAAGGGAAGAACAGATGCAAAGAAGCAACATGGGTTTCAGCCTTGGACTCAGGCCAAAAGCTTTGTGCTGGGCTCCCAAAAACAGTAATTCCACCTGGCAGTTTGTTCCAGGCTCAGCTGATACAATCATGATGTCTTAAATAAAATGCAGTGTAACCATGCCCACCAGCATAAGCCATGCTGAGTTTTCTTTCACCAGAGACAATAAATAATGAACTATTGATAACAGTCTTTCTGCATGAAGTCAACCAATAAATAAAACCATCATTATGAATTTACCATGGCCTGGGTCTGAACCTTCAATTGTGATTCAGTTTACATTTCACTTACCACCAGATAAAAGCCATTAAGTGTTTTAATATCTAATGCATAAGCAACAAAGCAACAAATAAATCCACGCAGCCATGTCTGGTTGACCGACAGAAAGAGAGAGAGAGAGAGAGAGAGAGAGAGAGAGAGAGAGAGAGAGAGAGACCAAGCGCAATTGCGACACACCAGCTATAAAAATTGGTGAATTTAATGGTTTTCTTTGTTTGAAACCTAAGGTGCCACCTCTTCCCCAAGAAGTTCACAAAAGAAACAGACAGCATATATATGAAGGACAGGGAGAGAAAATAAAATGATGAGAAAGAAAACTACCCCTCCACAAGCCCAGAAGCAATCATTTTCAGGTGAATATGGGAAGGGGTGGTAAAGCAGCAAGTTATAATTAAAGAACATTCAGAACGTAAATCCAGGTAACCTGATATTATTATTTTTAGATTACATTTATTAGATTAAATTTCATTATTCCTATTGAGAAATTAATTATGATACAGCCTACTTTATGTCTCCATATATGAAAGCACTAGAGACTCACTTATTAAAATGAACTCTGAAAACTCAGATGGACCAGTTCCCTACCCTTTCTTGACTCCAAATATCACATCCTTGTTTCTTCACCTAGCAGGATTTTGATAGGGTTCCCTTCTACATTCTTTCATTCAACCACATATTTTGCCACCCACCTTCAGTTCAATGTAATTCATTTCATTACTTGTAAAATGTTCCATGTAACAAGTGCTTGAGGCATTTTCTGTTTATACTTGGCTTATTTGTGATTCAATGATTCTTTAAGGATTGCTCCTTAGATTATACCTTTCAGCTGAATGATATGGTTATGATAGGAAGAGCCCAGATCAAATCACATTTGATCAGTTTAGTCTTCCACATCTTCACTCAAAGTGTTCTGGCTCTTTCCCTTCCTTCTCTAACATTCGCAATTCCAAAGAAAATGTCAAGTGTCACAAGTACATCTCAACAATTTAGTCCCATCTGTTGTTGCCATTATTTAAGCATAATGGCAATTACACCAACAGATACTACACAAAGGTTTTAGTACCTTCTTGAATTCTCCACTGTTTCTATATTCACACAGCATCATGTCAAAGAAGATTGGGATGGTAGCTTTCCGTAGTTCAGCTTCAGGAATAAGAGTCATTTCTAAGATTGGTCCAACCATCCCTGGAATAAAGCGGATTTTATTCTGCCCTGGAACAAAGTGCAAAAGCGAACATTAAAAAGAGAAGGACATTTAGAAGCAGACCATTTATAGCCATTTAAATGTTAAAATATATCCATTTCAGTAATGGGCTTATACTTACTTATCTTTCTGCGATTTTTTAAAAAAACTCTTTAAGCTATTTTTAGAATTAAAAGAAGACTAAGACTTAGGAGGGCAGCAAATGAAGGAATTAGAAAAGATCATCAAGCATAAGGACATTTCATGGGAGACCAAGGCCAGGATCATCCACACTAGTGTATTCCCAATCACTATGACTGAGTGTGAAAGCTGGACAGTGAAGAAAGCTGACAGGAGAAAAAGGGCTTTGTTTGAAACATGGTGCTGAAGGAGAGCCTAGTGAATACCCTGAACTAACAAAAAGACAATCAAGCAATCCCAAGAACAATTCAGGCCAGAACTTGCCCTGGAAGCAAAAATATCAAAACCGAAGCTGTCGTACTTCAGGCATGTCATGAGAAGGCAAGGCTCACTGGAGAAGACAATCATACTGGGGAAAGTTGAAGGCAGGAGAAGAAAAGGAAGACCAAAGGAAGGAATTATAAAGGGAACCACTGCTGGAGAAGGCTATAAGCCACATCACAACAAGCAGCAACTGTGGTTCCAACAGCTTCCAAATGAGCAAGGCATGCATTCTCATGTCAGTTCTGTAGATTTTCTACTATATACCCCAGCACAGTAAGCATGTGATTTTCAGTCAGGCAGAAATACTGGCGCAGCGAAAGCTCAGTGTGATAGAGCATGCAGAAGGTTCAAGGTCTGACTGTGAGTACCCTCATGTGGGGCTGGCAAAGAATCTTGCCTGAAACCCTGGGGCACCACTGCCAGTCAGTGCAGAGAAAACTGGGCTACAGGGAGCAATGCATTATAAGGCAGCCTCCTGTGCTCCTAGTCCAGGAGCACTGCAGGCTGCATCATCCTGGCCAATTGCTAATGATATGGGTTTTCAATAAATTAGCAAATAGGCTTTTAGATCCTTTTTCCAATTACAGTTTTTTAAAGGCCTGGACATTTTATGTAGGCTTTCTGTCTCCCCATTCTGCTATTAACAACTTATGCCCTTCAGTGGGTTAAAACCATGATGTCTGTGGCTCAGATTTCAGCTACATATTTACATACAGGTCACTGCCTCCCAGTGTTAACCCTCCCATGTGTACAATTGTTTTTTTCTTCCTTTGCACAGCTGTGTACCTATGAAGCTCTTTGAGCAATTTGCAAAAAGCATCATATGCATGCTATTGCAATGTAAAGCATAATATATCACATTATTTGTATGGTGTTGCCAGCATCACTGTAGCAATCATACACAGGGCTTGGTTCAGTAAGACCTTAACCCTTGCATGACCCTAACCCTACCACAGCGCATTCACATTCTAAGATGGCGGGGTCTATTAGCACCTCCAATAAGCAAGTGAGAGCCAAATGAATGCAGACTTTCACATTCAGTCACATTCCAGTTTCAAACATTTCACTGCTGAGGATGCTTGGAAAAGAAAATAATCGGGAACAATATATTTTCTTACCCCTTCCCATCAAAACCAATCTATCAGAGAACATTTTACAGTATCCATTTGACATGTGCCCTTGTCTTCGTCACAATGGACAAAACTTATCTGCCTTCATTCCTGGATGAATAATGTCAACCATTAGAAAGCTCAGAATAGAAATAGTGTTCTGGTAACTCTATTATAGATTGGCTGCACAATGACTTAAAAGCCACATGAAATAGGGAGCCTTAGGAGACATTTGCAATTATGACAGACAATAAAAAATGAAGAAATGAGCTTGCAAATGTCATCCCTAACAGGAAAAAACAGGGTTTGAATATTCCTCCAATATGGCTACTCGCAGGATAAAATAAAATACTGAGCAGCTCAAACCATTTGTTTGTTGGCTTTTAACATCCATCCTCTAGCAGTGTTTAATAATGTGTAATACTTCAGACAAGGCAGATTGAGAAAAACACTAATTTGTGGTTGGTTTTAGATATGATTTACTGTATTGCAGACGGGCAGAAGGCACCGTATAACACAACAGCAGTACTTCGATGAGTAATCTGGATCCTGTTTTCAAAGTCTCATTTTCCAGCTTGTTATCTAGAGCACTTCATACTTAAATAGTAAAAATAGGGACTGATCTATTTGTTAAGGTATAGCAGACATTCAGACATACATAATTAAACCTCTCGGTACCCATACATGTTCCAGTGTAGAGCAAATAACCATGGTGATGGTGTGGGGAGCCAATTTGCTGGAAAAGGGATGGAGGGAGACCCTCCCCTCCCCCAAGCCCTGATCCCTCTTTCATCTGTCCCTGCCCCTTAAGAATTTCCATGCTATGCAGCATCTAGAAGAGTACTGATGGACAAACTGAAAGGTAGTGAAATACAGATTTAATGAGTTAGGCAAAATAGGGATTGCATAAGGTACTTGAACAGTCGAAAATGCTACTCTGACTGGTGAAAGAAAATGTGTTAAATAAACACTTTCATGCTCCTGGAGTCAAACCTACACAACAGATATTGAACATGGCATTTCCCTTTCATAGTCATGAAATTTTAAAACTTGTAATGATGCAAAAACATGGGACGAGAATCCCACTCTTTTCCTTCTCAATTGAATATTAAACAGCTGTTTTCACAATTTTTAATGCTGTAGCATTTTTTTCCCCCTAAATCTCAGCAGAACACATTCATCATCTCTATGCAAAACATTATTTGCTTCAGTATCCCGTTGCAAGCCAATTGAAAAAAATACGGGTACAAATACGGGAAGAATGAACAGTTATGAACATCAATATTTGCTCACTAAATTACTTCTTTACACTTCTAGCTTAAGAAAGAGATTCGCCACCTCCACCAAAGGGAATAGGCACATTCAAAAACAAAAGATTGTTGCACAGTTCATGAGCAAAAGCTCATTTAGCAGGGTACTTAACTCTGGCAAAAGAGCACACACCAAAGCTGCAATTCCATAACTGGGAGTAAGTCTGTTGAGGTTAACTGGGTTTACTTTGGCACAGATGTACATAGGAGCACATTGCATAACGAAACAGGCCCCTGTTAATTTTGCCCTTTCTATTTCTTTTTCCTTCACTACATCTTCACTTTTAATCAAGAGGAAATTTGAGGGCAACATACTAACACAATGGCTGCTAAGTCTACTGTCACCCTAGCAGACAGCCACCAGCGCAATGGTGCTTTCTCCCTCTCTCATCCTCGTAGCAGCCCTATGTGCTCAGGAGGGTTTCCCGGCCCTCCACAGCAGATTTTGTGAGCACACAGAGCTCAGGCAGGAAGGGGAGGGAGAATCATTCACCTTCCTGGTCTGGTTGAGAGAAGGTGCTTCCAGCAGAACAACTCTGTTGCATATATCTGCACATGTTTCCTCTTAAATGGCTTCTTTTGCGCACACACTGGAAGGACATGTCAGAAAAGACCTCCTATTCATTGTTATTACAGCCTGAGCCAGCTTTCAGTTGAATTCCTTCCAACTTTGGTGTAGCTGAATGAAGACCAAGATTAGATTTTTTTTTTTTTTCAACCATGACCATCCTTTTCACTCGTGCACAGCCCTGGACATCCAAATACTCTTTAATTTGAGCAGGAATTGGGAATTCAAATACCCCATCTGCTTCTGAATAGAACACATTTGTCCTTCTGAACTGCAGATGTATGAATAAGGTAAAAGAGAATGCTATTATGATGAAGGGCATATAAAGGTCTGCATGAGAAGAACTCTTATCCAGGAGTGTATGCATGAATGAATGTGCTTGCTAGATACTGATAAAAGACAAGCTGTATTGCCATCCTTGTGTTCCATTCAGTATCAAGAAATATTCCTTTATCCCTGGACAGGAACCCATTTTTTTTAAATGGCATCAGATCATGGACTCTGGAGGCAGGAAGGGAGAGTCCTCTCTGGAAACTAACTTTCCAAGTGCACTAGTTTAGGACGGTCCATATTAAGGTCAGCACTGTGGAACTGTCAGTGTCACAAGGCTTGGAGGAGCTACAGTGTGTTAACAAAATGCCTTTTGCTTTCTTTCCCTTTCATTACCCATGAAAGAGAAAGAAAGCATCTCTGCACTACCATGGTGGCCTTTTCCTGTTCTACTTTTCCTGATCCACATGTTCTACTCCCATAACAGCCTCCACACGGTTCAAAGCTCTTATCCCATATAGGCTGCTCCCTACTGCAAATACAGATAAATAGACAACTTACAAACACACAGGCATTTAGTAACACAGTAAAAATAAATCAAATATCATTACCATCACAGCTGATTAGAAATGTTCCTTGACTAGGAGTGTGTTCCTTGAACATCTTTCTGGCAGCATTACTTACCAAGTTTGTACCACATGTCACGGATAGCAAAGCCAATTAAGCGCCTCATGTCTCCATACCTGTAAGCGAATACAGAAGACATTATCTTGATCAAAGCTTTGTTGTGTAAATGAGAAAAAAGATGGCTTTCAAATTCTTTCTTTCTTTCTTTCAAGACTTACTTGTTCAAGATTTTAAGGCACTTTGCATGGGAGAATTGTTCTAGCTGCAAGGAATCCTGGGTGATAAAAGCCACTGCAAGATGAAAATAGTTGTTCCACAGCTGTAAATTGAGCAGAAGACAGAAAACTGAAAAAATGTAATGGGTTTCACCTAAAAGGAAGGTGATATTAAGTTATAGGGAGCCTGAATAATTTATTAAGTCAACCAGCAAAAGCAGTGCAAGTTTTTAATATTATGTAAGTTGTAAGCTATTATTACCTTGCAATTAGATTAAAGACAAGACAGTGATTTTTATACCCACTGGCCTGCATTCTTGGAATAGCATCAGAAGATTCATATGGGGTTCATTAGCGAATACACTAAGCCATACATTATAGCCTTGCTTGTGAAACCGGGCGCATCCCAAGTTAATCACAACTCCCCAGATCTGAACAACCAATGCAATTATATTGTGTGAGAGTGGCACAAGCTAGCCATAGCTTTGTGGGCAGGAAAAACTGCACTTGCTTTTGATGATATGAGGTCCTGTAAGAACAAACATAACGTATGGCGAAAAAATAACTCCTGCTGATTTCAGGTCATTCACAAACACTCCCTTTGTTATTCAGTCTTTCAAAGAGCTACAAAATCTGATGGCCTCATCCTCACAGGAACTGCAGATTTATTTTGATTAACATTTGGTACATTCTTTTCCTGCTTTTCCTTCAAGGAGCCCAAGATGACGCTTCCTTCTCTCCATTTTATTTTCGCAACAATCCTATGAGGCATTTTCAGCTGAGAGGCAGCAACTGGCCCAGAGTTACCCAAGTGAGCTTCGTGGCAGAGTTGGGACTAGCACTTGGCCTCTCCTGTCTGAGTTCAGTATGGTAACCTCCACACCACACTAGCTTTCTAGATGAATTGATTGAAATATTGCCCACTTTCCTCTCATCAAGAAAATGGTAAGGATCTATTTTGATGAAACCCCTGGGACAGGACTCATCCCTAGTTTATTAGATCAATAAATACAGAAATGTCTTTATAATAAACATTACTTAAAATGTCAGGATTGGTTAAAAGGTGATCATAGTAGTTCTTCTGTGCTGGCATGAACACACAGGAACAATAAAACGTAATGTGGAGATTTTTCCAGGAGAAGAAGTCACCCAAAGTTTATCCTATTTTAAGGTCTTTCCCTGAGCTATACAATGTGGATAACATTCATTCCCATGGAACAGTATGCACTTCAACTGACAATACAAGAATTAGTTGAGACTGTATAGGCTATGTTTTCTAGCAGTCGGGATTTTAATACTAATGCAGGACAGTATGCCTTTTTAACATTAACATCTAAACATCACCCACAGCTCATTCAGCAACCTAAAATAATTGAAACTCCAGATAAAGTGACTGTGTTTTGGGCCTTATTAAATATATAAAAAATTACATTCACTTCCATGTACTTCTGCATAAGCTCAAGAGGAATTGTAGCTAATGAGACACAGAACAGAGACACTTGCATTTTTAAAAATAGATTCCCTTACTTAATGGGAATACACAATATCAATCACTGGCCACCCAATTTCCCCCCTATTTCCCAAATGTACATCTATAAAAGTGTGTTACAGCTCTCACTTCAGCTTATTGAATTGAGCACGTCCAATCAAAGGAAATCTGGAGGTTTCAAAGGCAAGGGGACCACAGAATCTGAGCAGACAGCTGGGATGTCGGTTGGCAGTAAACAAGCTGTCCAAAATCTGATGGACCCATGAGGAAAGTTGCTCAGGGAGAAGGATCTCAAGGCATCAGTCATGGAGAAAACACAGGCTAGCGCTACCCACACACTGTGTAAAACATTGTATTCTTTAATTGTGTTTAAAATCACCTTGAACTTTATAAGAAGAGGAGTCACCATCATCACACTTCAGACCCACAATTCTGGTCTGATTTAAAAGAGCAAGGGACAATGGCTGGTAAGCAGTAGCTGTGCAAGGCAGTGACCAAGGTAGAACTGAATGGAAGTGGGAGGCATGGAGGCATGGAGAAAAGTGGATGTTCTGGTCTTTATCACTTTTTTTCTTTTTGGGAAAGAAGAAATTTGAGCTAACTTTGAACAAAAGCAGAAGAAAAGGTAGCAGCGACCTACACTGCTAATGCAAAAGAAAACTTGCTGAAAAACAGTAAGAAAATTTATTGGATGTATGCTATGTTTCACGTGTGTTTGATGCAATTATTTATTTACTTCTCTACTACCCAGAAGGTAAATCACAGAGGCCAAACCTGAGAGTTGAGAGACCTCAGAGATCATCTACCCCAACCCTTTGCTCAGTGTAAGTTCCCAGCTTTGTGTTGCCTGCATATCTAATCATCAAGTCCTCTACACCCTCTTCCAAGTCATTTATAAAAAGGATGAGCAGTGCAGGAGTCAGGAGAGGGACCCAGTGCACTCCTCTGCAGAGCTTTCCCAGGAGAATCCTGGGCCATTCCTTAATGCTCACTGAGTACAACTGCACAACCCACTGTGGCTCCACCTAATTGTAGCTGGTACCCAACCCACATTTTACTACTTGTGAACAGGGATATCATGGGAAATGCTTTGCTTAAATCAAGATATGTCATGTCCAGGGCATCCCCATGACCTAACGAACTAGCAACTCTGTCAAAAAACAAGATAAGGTTGACCTGACATGCCTTATTCCTGATACACCCTTGTTGACCCCTAGTAATCAATACATTATTTCTTAGATGCTTGCAGACTGATTGCTTGTTCATGTGTTTCAGAATATTGCCTGATAGGGAAATCTGGCTGAGCTGACCAGCCTGTCATTTCCTGGATCAATAAACCTAGGGCATAACTCAGAGGAAAAGCTAGCAGTAGTTCAAGAATCTTAAAACACACTAATTGCTTTCTTTTTTAAGCCAAGGATAATAAATAGGTCTTTATCTGTTAATGAAAAAACACAAAGTATATGGCAAGCAAAGGCGCTGACACTGAGGAACTTCATTAAACTCACTTTGAACATGCAACCTAACCCTACCCTTTCCATCCACTCCCCCTTTCCCACACACGATGCTACACTAATTACAGCAGACGATACGATCACACTGTTGTCCAGTACTCACCTTCCTTGCAATAATTTTTATGTCTACATCACAGCTCAATCAAATCCTTGTGCAACTAACTGTTCTCCTACCACCCCGATCAAACAATCTTGCAGAAGGACCGAAACATAAACGGACTAGTTCTTTCAAAAAGTAGGGCCACGTACTTTACTACTATTACTTGGTAAGTGGCAAACCCATGAAAAATTAATCAGGGTTAAGAACCTGAATGCTTATTAAAGGGCCAAGTAGAATTATTATTTTTCATGCACTGGCTTCTTTTTTACCGCTACTCAGTTGGCTTACTCCTAAGCAGAGAATCCCACCTTCCTTTATGTTGTTGCTGTGCAGCACAGCCCATCCCAATTTCTTTCCTACTTTAGCTCTGTGACAGCCACACTGGTAGATGGACAAGCAAAGCAGTCAGAAGGGAGCCGTCACACCCCCCATTCCACTCTTTTGCTGCAAGGTGGTTGCCCCTTTCAGTAGCAGCCAGATTTAACTGTGAGGCAACAGAGTGTCTGAGTGGAGTCCTGCACGGCCTTAATTGCTCCCTTTGCGCAACTGTCGTGAACGAGCAGGCACAGAGAAGGAATGAGCTTCTGACTGCTCAGACAGGTCATCCCTTCAAGACAGCAGATGGACTCGCAGAAGAAGCCCAGTCAGGAAACTTGCCCTTTTGGAGTTTCCCGTTTTGTCCCTGCTGCGTGACGAGGTGGCAAAATGCCCGGCTGGAAGAGCATCCATTCGGCCTGGCATGTTTCCCCAAGCATTAAATTCACTTGCAGATAGGAAACATTGTTTATGCATACTTTAAAAGCATTCACCAAATGAAAGAGAATCAAGAAAATATATTGCTGCAGTCTCACTGAACACACTGAAATCCTGTGTTTTCCTAAATATCTCTGTTAAAGGGGGGGATGTGGAAGTACTGGGTGGTATTTCTACAAAAGCAATTCTAATGAAATCCGAAAGGACTCTATCTTGTGTAGAAATGGTACCTATTCTCTAAATATTGTTGCTGTTCTTCTAAACTTTTAAAAGGGAGCATGTAAGACGTGTGAGGGACAGAGGCAGAGTTAGAGAGCAGTCCACTAGGGCTTGGGCCCCAAATCTGTCCTTTGCCTTGGGCCCCAAATCTGACTCTATGGGACACCATCTGTCCCACCACCCTGCTATCCGCGGGTCCTGAGCATCTCTGTTGCATCCCACCTCATAGAATTAGCTGGCTTTTTGCCCAGATGTGATTCACCTCCTGCTTCCCCACCCTGGAATCTTTCTTCCAGAAGGGTTTTTTTTTTTTTTTTGAATCCCCTAAAATTGAATGTCCTCCTCTCTCCTGTGCAGATGACTTTTTACAAATAGGGAGACAAGGTTTTTAAGACACAAGATTCTTTAAAGACACACAGAGACAGAATTTAGACTATGTGTAAATTAGCATATGCAAGAATGTGCTTTTTTCTGTGGGGGGGGGTTCCCCCCTCTTGTGGGCCTGAATCCTAGATCTCTGTAGCACGTAACACCTTTCCTAGGGTGGGATGTTCAGAGATGCAGATGTTTTATGGTTTTCAGTTATGTCTGAATAGACACTTTTGTATCTTTTCCTACAGTGAGGTTTGCAGGCCCTGTGAATGCACAGGACTTGCACACTTAAAAAGTGGAGCTGAAAGGCACAGAGAAGTAGATAAACATGTGTTTTGGGTGTTATGAAGAAGACTGGCAATCAACATATGCAAGGCATTTGTGCTTTTCATCAATGTGTGAGAGGACGATGTCTTGATGGCATTGTGTTATCTTTGCATCTCTGAAAAGTGCAGGATCAAGCCAAAGGCCACCAATGCTGATCTCATATATAGCATGTGTGCATGCTCAACCACAGACATGCACGTTCACTTCACTGAAGTTCTGCCCCTCATATCTGAGCAATTTGCCACTCAGACCCAAATGCGACTTGCAGCTGTAAATCAGCACGTTTCCACAAAATAAAACAAATGTGTTAGACTATATTCACATATTTGAAATTTATACACATGCGCATGTGCACACACATGCAGAGAGAGAGAGAGAATGTAAATTTCTAAAATGAGCACACATTTATGTTGGTATATGTGTCCAGAATGTGTACATATAAATCTGTATGAATTTACATATTTCTGCATACAATACAAATATTTAGCAGGATGAAAAAAGTAAATTCTTAGTCTTTACATTTTTAAGCCTCTAGTAAGAATTACAGTTTCTTGTTTGCTTCTTTGTTTATCTCCTTTCTATAATGGCAAGGCCCTTTGCATTCGTTTAAAGAGAGGTGCCACATCCAGTTGCAGCTGCAGCAAGGGATTAGCCATTGGTAACAAAAAGGGAGTGAACACACTTTGATTGGAACTGGATACCAATCATCAGTGAAAAATAAGCACTTCTTGTGAGATCTGAAAGACATACTTATGTGTCAGCCTCCACTACAGCTACTGTCCCTCCCACTGCAGCATATGGCAAGATCCAGTGCAAAGAGCAGTGGAGTTTTCTCTACGCTCCAAACACAGACTCAGCCGAAACACAGCCTTGAAAGCTGAAATAAAATGTCTCTGACGTCTGCTCAGGTGAGTCTAATCACATGTATGACATCAGCAAGCACCCATTGCTGGTCCTTTTTTTTCCCCTTACAAAAATTAGATTGATCTTGTCCGCATATCGAATGTAACATTTTAATCCATTTTAGTTTGAATACAGTTTATTTTATATTGTATTTTTAATGTGCTGTTCTAAATAAATAAAACACAAACAAGAAAGGAGGCAAACATACAATGGGCTCTAGTAAGAGTTATGTATGCTAAAAATGGAAGTAAGTTTTATCTTCTAATACTGAGTGTGCCCTATTGTATTTAATTATGTCCAGCAGTATATGTTAGAGAATTGTGATAAGGTAAGGGGAAAAGGTGTTACACTAGCCATGCTCAGGCTTAAAAGTGTATTGTCTGGAAACACTCATATACACATTCACCTTGTGGCATTTAGACTGGAGATGTAACCTCCTATTGTGTTCAGAAGGAAAGAAGGAGGGGGGGAGAGAGAGAGTGAGAGTGAGAGTGAGAGTGAGAGTGAGAGAGAGAGAGAGAGAGAGAGAGAGAGAGAGAGAGAGAGAGAGCGCGACCGAGCCTGCATGTGTGCGTAAGGCGGATAAGTATAAAAATGATTTTTAGCAGCAAGATATTTTCATTGGTATTTAAATCCTAGTACCTTAGTTCCCATGTGTAGCCTGAAGAAATAAGAAATTTGCTGTCAATCTGTTAATTAGGGAAGACCTTTTGGATTCAGTTTGGTCAACTTACAAGGTAATATACTCAAGGCTGCAGATTAAAGGAGTTTTTGTACTTAACAAAAACAGAACAAAGGAAAGAAGGGGGAGGGAAGAGAGCGTATGTGTGTGTTATGTTTTACCGTAAGGGAATGTGGGAGGGATCCATTTGGGATGGAAGTGCATCAGATTCCTTGGGCTCATCTTCCCAGAGTCTGGTCCACTGTGGCACGATCATGAGCCTGAGTTCCAGGCAAGTGCTCCCAGGGTTTGCACAGTGCTTGCCAGGAATCCAGCCCCACACGAGCATTGCTGCCCGCGCGCTGTCCCTCTTCCATGAATTTGTTTATGCTGCCGCGTGTGGTGCAGAAGGCTGCCAGTTGCGCAACCTTAATTCCGCATGCAGCTGCAGATCTCCTCTTGGTGCAGTTCCCTTTCCAAGACACCAACAAGCACAAAAGGACGTCTGTGAATGCTGGATGGACAGATTCCCTGGAGCTTGGATGCATCCATTACCCAACATCCTTCTACCACAAATAAGCCCTGCTTGATATTTCAAGATTACAGTATCTAGTTCAGTGGCCAGATTTACTGACCCTATTTTAATATCTTAAATTAAAGGAGAATCAGTGACGGCTCTGGGAGAATTCTACCTTCTTGAGGCATTGCTACGGTCAGCATGTGACACCATGCAAAGTATCCTATGTGGTACTAGTGTTAATAGAGGTCACTTTTGATAGTGTGACACAGTTTATATTAGCACCAGTTCCAGATAGGATACCAACTCATGAGGTGGATAGTTGCCCCAATTATTTGTTTCATCACATGCTACTGTTAAGTGGACGGTAAAAGCAAAACATCTTGACATCCTAACATTCTGAAGAAAATCCATGCACAGCTGATGCCTTATCATTGCATATGTTCTGAGTGTCTGTAATCAAGCAGCACATAAACTGATCTGCAGTTCTCACTTTATGTGCCAGAAGTCACATAAATAAAACACAGAAAGGATTTTGAGATAAGTAAATGCAAGACAGTGTTTGTTTTTTAAAAGCTTCTTATGACATCTAACGGCCACTCACCTGTTCTTCAAAGTTCATGTTTTCTAGGAACTTTTGGTTCATAGTCTCAGAAAACTTGTTGATGGCTCTCAGAAAGACTCTGAAAGAATGAGTTTGAAAATATCCAATGGAATGTTATTATCTTTGCTATTACTGAAGCAGAACTAAAGACAAACTATGAATGATAAGTAGTCACATAGAATACACTCACAGAATACATACTACTTGCAACAGCATAAAATTAATGATATATTATACACAGGGAAAGAATTTATTTTCATATCAGGTATGCAGTATGTTCTAATTAGAACTCACCACAGAAATAGGATATGTCTTTTTGGTCTGCTGCACAATTACTATTCTTTCTTGTGAATATAGCATAATAAATCTTTCACAGTCATCACTTCCCAAGACATAGCGATACACTTATTTTTAAAGACTATGTTTTTGTTAATTGATCAGTCAGGCAGAAATATTAACTTCTTCAATGATTCAGATTGACTCTGAGCTCATTAGGAATAGCCTTCTACCTAATGCCTAGAAATATGAAATACGCACAGCTATTAAGTTATTCTGTTTATTTACCAATTCTTTTTGACTGGCTGTACATGAACTAATTAAATGACTATCATCCCTGTTTATGCAAGACATGCAACATGTAAACAACACTGTTTCTGTAATTACTCAAAAGGGCAATACAGAAGTCAATATGGCAACTCCTGTTCCTGCTCCACTTTTCTGGAAAAGACACAGTGATTTTTTTTTCAGCAATGTCTTTATAGGCCAGTCTTATCAACAGACACTGTGTGTTTCCTGACCTGTGTCTCCTCTGAATACTCATCTTACCTAACATTGCTAGATACACCTCCTGAAGTTCAGGAAACCTGGGGAGCAGGGTTCGATGCAGCTCCAGGGGCTGTAGTGAGAAGAAATGGTAGGCTAGCTGCATGCACAGCAGTGCTCTTTGGACCCTGGGCACCCCCTTACAGTAAAGGAGGCATAATTTAATTAATTCACACTAGCATACATCAGTCACAGTGTTATTTTCCCTCTGTTGGCGCCTGTATACACACTCTCTGTGGTAGCAGTTAGCCCACAATTATCACCCCATGACATATGCTTCCCTTGCAAAATGCACTTTTTATTATGATAGAACTGATCAAGGGACTGTGTGAGATTGCTTTCTATTACCGCGAGTGTTTTGCCTTGAGAGGTCTGCTGTGCTGTGCAAAGCTGTACCAAACAGTTGATCATCTCTACTGGATTCCTAATTGTCCTTCAGCGGTAGAAAAGTAGGTGAGCCTTCCTGCAGCCGCAGCTTACAAACCAGGGGTACTTCCAGAAGAAATTTTTCTCATGCAATCACCCTGCCTGGTTCAAAGGATTAAGAGTGGCTCCACTTGGAAATCTCCCATGTTTTCCCACCACTTTGCCCATTTTTCTTTTCTTTCCACAAATGAAATGCTGAAGATGAAAAGATGGAATGGCTGCACAATGTCATTGAACTGAGTCCTGGGAGGCTTCCACCGGGAAGCACCCAGGCAGAGATTAATTATGGGAGGATAGGAAGATATTGAAAGCGTGGAAGAATGAGACACCACAAAAAATTTGGCAAAATGCATGCATCAAATAATTAGACTTTGGTCAAAGTATCTCACAGGTTTAAACAGGCACTGAGGAAATAATATTTAGCACTTACTGCAACAAAGAGTTCCTGGCTTTGCATGTCCCCAAATTCACATTTTGCCCACACTAGTTAAGGCTTTGGCACTCGGGGTTAATTATAGTCTCTGAGCAGAGCATCTTCAGCAGCCTTGCCTTTCCCCCATGAAACTGCAGGGCAAATTCATTTATTGTTTTTAGATGGCAAGCTACCTTTCCTTCTGACGGGCTTTTCAGGGATAGCACTACTGCAGGGGCTTTCTTGGCATGTTGTGTTGCTATTCAGTTAGTTTCGAATGGCTTTTTAAAATTGGTTTTAGGTCCATGTTATCTAAGTTATGTCACCATTTGACTGTTGTAGGCCACCTTATGAATCCTGGGGGCAGAATGTGTGAAATATTTGTTAAAAGAAAATGAACCTAAGGGAAAACTTGCATGTAGTCCAAGGGGCCATAGCATTTCACTGTCTTAACAGTAGGAAACTTTTTCTGTATAAAGGGAATGACAAGCCTTTGCTTTATGTTCTGCATTATCTCTCATGACATTTTAATCATAAAGTAATTACACCCATTCATGCATATTTTTAGTTTGGAAAACAAGGTATAATGGTCAACAGTTATGGTTTAGGGAATGTTGGATTGGCACAAGTTTCTTTAGAATTTAACATTCTGCATAAGTATGTGTATGGACATCATGCTTCACATTATTACTACTACCACTACTATTATTATTATTATTCATAGTAGTATTAATACTCATAACAGAATAAATTAATACTATTAATATTGCTAGCAACAGTTACATTTTATCCCTTAATGAATGTCATGTGAAAATATTACATTGAATTAGGAAGTGTATGAATGCAGCTGCTAAAAACATGCTACTACCAACATGGAAGTCACTGCTGGCTCTTATCTGTATATGGCTGGGTGAGTAACATCTCATGCATTTGCAGACTTGCACAGAGCTAGTTAGATGCTGCTACTCCACATATTTCCTAGCCAGCTCAATATCTGTTAAAAGCAGAAAGCAATTAATCTTGAAAATGGGCATTGCCAATTAAGTTTAATGAACTCATTAAAAGTTTTCTATCCTTAAATTTGGCAGAAATGTATCATTTTAACATTTCAGTCAAAGAGGTTGACCCAAATAACCATCCAGCAAAGTGTTCTACCAAATGTCTCTCAGCATCAGAAGAATGGGAAAAAATATCCAGGAAGATCAATAGTTGTCAAAATAAGCTTCTAATTCTGCCCTAATAGTTACGATATTTTGAAGGGTAGTGTTGCACAGAGCCAGGAGAATACAGTCAGTACATCTCAGAGCTGAAATTAGACCTAGCATAAATCCAGATTCATCTACAGAAGCTGAAATGGTAGCCACCTCTGCAAACAGAAGGTGCAGAACTGCTGCTACAGGGCAAATAAGGAGGAGGAGTAACCCTGCAAAGCTGTTGCTGCCAGTTAGTTTGCAGAATGCAAGGCACAGGATGGGGTTAGGGTCAGTATAGGCCAGTGTCTAATGTTCCCAACCTATGTGGAAGAGAACAAATTATAATGGATAGTTTCATCCTGTAGATGCAAAATACTATGGAGGTGGAATAACTTGACAAAGGAAGAGATAAGTGCAAGAAGAGGGAAAATGTCAGTTCTGGAAGAAGAGTGGCAGCAGTCGTTTGAGAACAGTGTGGGAATCCACCAATTCATGGAGGGAATGCACTGTAAGATGGAACTGAACACTCAGTATGACAGCCCATTATGAATCTGAAATTTTTCAGAAGCACAGATGTCTGATGTATGAACTTTGGCAGGACTTGTCATGTAGCCATCAGAATGATGAAGTGATTTAATTTGAATTGACTGTTTCTTGGTAGCATAAAATGCTTCCTTCTGAAACTCCTAATGCTGTATCATCTGTTGCTAAGAGAATAGGCTCTCGTTTAAATATTTCTGAGGTAAGAACGGCTCCCTGAATCCACACTCATAATTTGCTTCCTTTCACTCCATCATCAAATATTTTAAAACTTATGTTTGTATAGTGTGATTGTTCCCCTGATGTGAGCCATTTGGTAAAGATAATGCAGTCCTTGGGTTCTTAGCATTTTCAAATTCACTCACAGGACAATTTAACCATATAGATGTAAATGTTGGCTGTTACCTAATGCAACACACAAGCATGGACATTTTTCTGGCAGCATCTATCCCCCTCTACTACCACAGAACCTCCACAGTCCTCTTTGATCTACCCCAAATGAGTATATTAAAGCAGCTTGGGGATTTGTGAAAGAACCTTTTAAAGAGGAAAGAGGATGATTTTAAGGAGGCAAATCCAATCTTTACTTTTTCACACAGCATGTTGTTAAACTGGAATTCACATGATGTAGTGAAAGCCATCAACTTAGGCAGTTTTAAAGGGGAATTAGACACATTCGTGGAGGCCAAGATGAGGGACGAGCCACGAGGACTATATGTTCCTTCCAGAATCATGGGCAGCACTTTTATTTGCTTGGAACATGAACAAGCCAGTACTGATGTCCTCATGTCCTGCTTCAAGGCTTCCCACAGATAACTAGTTGACACTCTGTGGGAACATATTCTGACCAGCGGCTTTACCCAGCAAAGCTCTTCTTATGTTCTTAAAGATCAAGAGTTTGCAAGAAGATAGTGCTAGACTTCTCCCTTTCACGAAAGAAATTTAGATCCAAGGACACTTCAAATCCTTGGAGCGCTATAACATTCCTGGATCACCAGGTGGATTTACCAACGACCTTTTCCAGAAGCCACAGAGAGACACTGCATCTCCTGCCTCCTGAGGTGATACTGCACTGACTAGATGGAAAAGAAAGCAAAGTCCTTGCACTTTCAATGGTTGTGTAGAAATGGAAATTTCAGCAAATGTAGCTTGTCATGCAGTTTTCTCTGCAACACATATTAAAGGCTTACTAAATGAACAGGTTAAATATATTAAGGCAGCCCCTTTACAATGGAAGATCACAGGGTATTTATAAGACAGGAGAGAAGGGGTTTAGACTGATCCTTGTATCTCCCAGAATTACTCCCTGTGTTTACGTGGAGGCATCATTTTTGTCCAAAGCACCGTGTCACCAGGGCACTGTGCTGTGGGTATAAACACATGCAAACAACAGCCCCAGGGATCAGCAAGATCACATGGTTACTTCCCATATCAGCCCTCACTACTTTCTTCAGTCCCTGGGAGGGCGCAGGGCTTTATCACATCACCTGGGATTACCCCCTGGAACCCAACCCATGGTTCATGAGCTCACCCCTGCAGTGGTTCTGGTAATGCATGGAAGTACATTGGTCTTGTAAAGTTTGAAACAGGGCCTAGTTTAAAGCACAATTGTGACAGAAAGATAGTTCCTTTCCCTTCCCCAAGACAGGGGTTTGTTGATGACAGACCTTTGGACTCTGGGTGTCT